CCCTTCTAAGTTTCTAGATGGAGCCAGCTACCACTACATGGAGTCAGCCACAGAAAAAATGTAGGCAAAGAAAAACTTTTACCGCCAGTCACCAGAAATGGCAGCACTGAAATGAGCGCAAAATAGCAAGTGAGTGTATAAGATTTTAAACACAAAGAAAAACTCAAAGATCAATTCATCATTGAGCTGCATCTAAAACTTTTTTGTTCTGCTACTATTCCTATTTACTCACACGTGCATTTATAGAGTTTTAAAAATTACTATATTGATAACAAAGCCTTTAAAATGTGTTTATATAAAATAAAGTTAAAGGGGAACCCATTTTGTTTTTTTACATTGGGCCCTTGATTTTACATCATTACATCATGTTCTACTCACCCATATGGGTTTTGTGTAATTTGGAGCTGTTCTGAAGATATTCGGTTAGGTTATATCCAAGTAACGTCTTCCTATGGGCAGTCGACTTGAAAACACCAACTAAACTGTATATAGTGTTTTTTTTATGGTACTCCAGCATTCATAACATGTGGATTGTGTATGACGTCAGATTCTGTACTGATTACAGGAAATACAACAGCATTACAGAACCTGACTCCCACCCACTTCCTCGGATTGAAGATTGTGTTGTTTTTGGAACTGTGATGTATGTGAGTAAATTTGATTTGCTCAAAGGTTACTATCAAGTACCCTTGTCTGCTCGAGCCCAAGAGATGTCTTCCTTTATTGTACCATCTAGATTTTACGCTTACACTGTAATGAGTTTTGGTCTTAGGAATGCACCTGCCACTTTCCAGCGGTTGATGAATCAAGTAGTTGAAAACGTTAAGGTTCTCTTAGGCACTGCACCTGTTTTGTCTGCTTCAAGATTAGATTGGTCATTCAAAGTACAGGCTGATGCAAGTCAAGTGGGTGCAGGAGCTATTTTGTTGCAGACTGATGAGGAAGGTGTCCATCCAGTGTGTTTCTTTTCTAAGAAGTTTAATCAACATCAACTTAATTATTCGACAATTGAGAAAGAGGCCTTGGCTCTTATTTGGGCACTGCAGCACTTTGATGCGTTTGTGGGTGGAGGTGCATTTCCTGTTGGGGTGTATTCAGATCATAACCCTTTGACCTTTTTGTAGCTACAGCTTACAGAGTCCAAATCAGCGGTTATGCGATGGGCCTTATTCCTTCAACCTTACAACCTTGATATTCAGCACATTCGAGGAATTGAAAATGTGCTGGCTGATGCATTGTCTCGTGCCATTGATGGACCAGACTAACAGAAAAATGGCTACAGAGGTCTTAGTTGGGATCCTCTGTTGTAAGGGGGAGGTGTTACGGCTGCAGTGGGTTTCTGCCCTTTTCCTTGCGGTGTTCTGGAGGCTGGCTGCAGGTGTTCTGTTTTGCCCTAACTGGTGCTCGTCTGCTTTAAAAGCTGATTTACAAGCAGCATACAGGAGGCTTCTCTCTCTTTCCTCCTCAGAACTGTCAGGATCCGGAGGCTTGCCCACCAGAGGGCGCCGTAGATCCTCTCCTGAGAGCTTGTGCTCATCTGAAGCAGCTGTTCCCCATCAGCTCATTAGGGTTCTCCTACATAAGCTGGAAGAGAACTTCACTCTGAGCCGGATTGTTTTGACCCTGTTGTGGTTAGCAAGCCCGAGCCAGCCTGCCTGTCTGACCCTCTGTTTTTTCCTGTAAATCTGAACCTGATCTGCTTTGTCCTCTCTGCCTTCCAGGTAGAACCCTGTCTGCATCCAATAAACTCTTGGACTTTTGCCCAGCCTCTGTGTGTGTGTTTCTGCATTTGGGCTAGAAATCCTGCCGATCATGACAAGAACCCCCTTTGGTTTGGTTTGTATCCTATGGTTGGGTTTTGTTAGGTTTGTTTGTATTTGCTTATTTCTGTTTAGTTATAGGTTTTGCATTAATCCATTTTTAATTTCCCATTTCATTTTTCCCTCTTTTCAGGTTTTGTTTCTTTAGTATAATTTTATAAATTCAATTCTCAGTTAATAAGAAAATCTTTGTGTGGTCCTTTAAGGTTACCCCCACCAAACAAGCTTGGTGGATGTAACAGCAAAAACAAAACCATTATTCAGACATGCTTTTGAAATACTATTTATTAAATTGCTGATATGTACTGAAAAAAAAGTAAGTTCCATTACCAAAAATAGTATGAGACACCAGGTTCAGAAATTAAGCAAATTCTTATTAAAACACATTTTCACAAATAAAACATTTTCACAAATAATGCACACCTAAGAAAAAACTCTAATCACAGATGGATAGATTTATATAGGAGGAATGAATCAGGACAATTGAAGGATCATAGTCAGCAGGACTATGACAATTGGAGAGGCCACCATGCCAGGGCAGAAGAAATGAATGCTGCAAAGAGTAAAAGAAAATACTCAAAATATGCATCAGTTCAGTTGTCATAAAGTTACTAATAAAAAAGGTTATTACGTTTGGAGAGTGATCAAATTAGGTTAAGCTTAAGTTACAGTTGGTTTTATTTCCAACAGATCCTTTCAGAATCTGCTTGAGCTGCTATGGTCCAAAACAAGATAAGCCGATAATAAATTAATAAAACTTACCCATGCTCATTTTTGGAGGTGGTTTGGGCTTTATTTTAGTAAATATTGCCTGTTGCTGTAATAATTTGTAGATGTTTTTCTCCATAAATATTCTACTATTATTAGACTTTATTAAATAGTTTTATTATATTCTACTTTATTATTTCTGATGCTCCAAATATTTTTAAATACATAGAGATGCTCTCCATCATCTGTCATTATACCAATACTGTACTTCCTTGACTAAAATGACTGTAGAAACTTTTGCATGTGAGTTCACATTTGACCAGTCTAGCAATAAAACATGCAAAAACTGTAGTTGCAAATGTGTTTGAGGTCATAAAAATAGCTTTGATGGGGTAGTTGTTTACATTTTTATATCCTCCACCCATGAAATTGTGCAGTTTGGTCATTAGAATATGATCTGCAAAACGATGAATGCACAGATGCAAAAAAAAAAACAAAAAAAACAAAAAAAAAAAACGCAGGTTTTTACTTGCTGTTTGCTAAACTGCAAAGGCAGATTGCTGCATGTATGAACAAATAGTCATGAAATGTGACATTACCTCCTGTTTGTACCGGACGGTGGCGGAACGGTAGATACATTCCTGGAAATTCAGAAACAAATATTCTGGTTAAGTTTTTTTATGCCGGGGGGTGGGGCTGGGAATACTGAAGGCACCTTCGGGGCCCTAAAATTATTAATTTGTTAATAATATGGTTTACCGTGCTAAGCATGGCCCTGCATCCAGATTTGGAAGAGGATTTGATGAGTTCAGTGGTCTTAACTTGGGACATGGTAGATTATTTCCCTCGATTAGTGGAGTAAGATCTGTCAATGAATAAAAACTGTCAGAAAGAAAAAAAACAACAAACACAATGCTTTTGGAATAACATAATCTTTTCAGCAAACCCATTTCATCCACTGTACAGCACTACAAGAAAATACTGCTCTTCAAGATTATCATGTGAGTGGTACTTAAATATTCCTTGGATAATTTTGGACTGCATTTTTACAATGTTTTTAATTGTACACTGCAATTCCCCCAGCATTAAAAAATTACTCTTAATTACTCTGACAAAATGTTGATGGTAAAAACACTGAAATTTCTTAAGCCTTATTAATATAAGGAATGTTGGCAGGTTTTGTCGATGAGAAAAAAAAGTTATTGCAATATGTCATTAAAATATTTAACTTACCTTTTAAGTTAAACAGGAAAATGATACTACCTCCCTTGAGGAACTCTCTGTATTGCAACTCATCCACGGTTACAAAATTGGACTCCCCAAAGAGAGGTCCACCGTAGACTAACTCATCCATCTCATAAAAAACACCGGTCCCATTCTCCATAGGATTGTTCCAAACAGAGGAACCTGTTAATATGGCACAAACATGTAGTGAGAACAATTTCTTTAACCTGAACTGTTCTTTTTAACTTTAGCTGTAGACTTACCACTAGATGTCACCTGAGTTTTGTCAGAAACTGAGGTAATTTGCTTTGACATTTGCAGTTGCTTATTAGGGGTTTGATCCAACAACTGGAAAATCATTTGTCTTTGCAGGCTAGGCCACTGCAATTCATTGTTGAATTCACCAGACAAGAGCTGCACAAAGATTCCAATTCCTTCTTTTCTAATTTCAGCAGCAATACGGTACGCATAGCCATCTTCCGAATACTGTCGTGGACTGTATATAGTGGTTACAATGTTGTTTGTGTTTAAAATACTCTTAAAGTCATCAATCTGCAAAGCAACATGTGGACACTCTGTCTCTGAGAGATTGATGTCATCAATTGAGAAGCCTCCTGTAGAGTTTCCTGCTCCTTTGCGAACCTCAAACACCACCTGGAAGTTCTTGGTAGCATTCAAGGAAACATGGTGGAGTTTCCAATGAGATGTTGAAGTACCTAGAATAAGGTATTTAATTTACCATGTTGCACAATTTTAATATTTAAACTTACATAAGAATAAATCATTTTAAACACAAAACAAAAAAGACACCATCATAAACCAAAGACTGAGCCCAAGCAATAAATAAGCCCACCAATTTACTGGGCCGATTGTAGCGTGTGGCCAATATTAAAAAATTTAATATTAAAAATGGACATTCCAGGCGGAAAATAAGCCGCCTGGCTAGTCGCAGCATCTTCACCATCTATACTCTGTGCGGATTTTCTCCTGTTCTGGCTGGCTCTAGGCCGGCGTGTTTAGCAGACACCTTAAACTGACAACACCCCACTAAATGAGGAAGTAGAAATCACAACCGTTTACAACTTTTCAAAGTCTCTTCATGCTGTTCATGTGCGACAGTCATGTCTTTTCTTGAGTTTTTCCACAATCTGTTGATAGCTTCAGACATCCTAACTCCAGTCGCCTTGAATGGTCATTGAACACAGTATCGCTTTGGAGATATATGCTCAGGTTTTATAAGCAACCTCCTCCCCACACCCCCCCTCTCTTTTTGTGCCTGTGCAATTGAAGTAGTTCTACGCCACACATGACACACAAGATATTGTAATGCCTGCCGGCTCTCACTCCCATTAAAAAAAACACCATCTCGCATAGTCTAAAATCTGGGATAATTTATCCATCTCGCGGGCACCATAAAACAACTAGCCATATCAGGGAGAATCCCGGAACTTCCCGGAGACTTGGGATGTCTTTTTACATTTGCATACCCTCCCCTTCCGGTTCCTATGTATACATAAACATTCACAGGCTGTGTCCGAACGTCCGCCCTAATCATTAAATGTGGCACTATATGGGGTTTACACCATTTTAAATGAGTCTCTGAATGTCTACGTGATGAAAAAGTAGTGGACCTTGAAAAGTAGTGACATTGTCATTACCCGATCCATCCCGGAAGCCCGACCTGTACCATCAACTGATTTCATCATCCGCAACCAGATATACATCCGGGTCACCTTGAATTTTATCTTCCTTTCATGTTAACATTATTGTATATAGTGCGTAACCTAAAGAAAGAAACAACTAAAATGCAGATAAACTTGGTTTAATCCTGTTTTGCCGGACTATTCTGAGCATATCCGATCATGATGTCAAGTCGACAAGGAGTTTAAATGAGAAAATGTAAAAAGTATCGAAATTTTCTCAGAAAAAGTAATACAATTTTTTAAAAGATATGTATTAGCATTTTTCAGTGATTTAAGGATAGAAAAAAGTAATGGAACTTATACTGTATCATCTATAGTCACTGGAGAAGTAGATATATTCCAGAATGCTTTGCGAGAGCTCTCCTTTTAAAGCATCATGGGATTTGTTGTGTTAGCCCTTGTCAGCGACAAATAACAAAGATGGTGCATGCACCATTCGGGGAGGCAGAGTTAAGTGACCTACTGGTAAGTATTTATCATCTGTCTGAACAGTCAGTTAACTGAGTCCACTACAGTCCCCGCTCTATATAGTGATTTAGGGATTAGGGCGGATGTTCAGACACAGCCACAACTGCTGCTAGTGGAGAAAAGCATGGAAGAAGAAAGCAGGGCTGAAGAACAATAACAAGAAATAGATCAGAAACAAAATTCCCCAGATAAGCCTGTGTTTTATCACTTTACGTTGTATAAAGCCACTTGTTTTGATTTTGAAGAGCTCATCTGTAACATTAAAATGTAATTACCAAAATACACTATATCAATATATATTCATTTCACATGCAGAGGGGAAAAGTCAGAGGCCACTCCAAGAAGGATTTACCAGGTGTTGGATGCAGCATCTGCACTATTAGTCAGGGCTCCAGCAGCAGTAAAGTGAAATGCGCCATAAATTTGTGGCAACATCTAAAACAGCACTACAAAAACTGATTGTATTTATAGTCTTATATTAACACTGTTCAAATTAAAGTTGCTGTTTTTGATCCTATGGTGTTCTGTTTTTTTGTTGTGAATAATATTTTTGGTTATTATGAGAACTTGAGTTGGACTACACTACACTACGACAGTGCATATCCTGTGTATGTCAATGTTTAATGTTTTTTTTAATATTCTATCCAATATACGCCAAATCTCAGCCAATGTAAGATATCAACCAATCTATTGGATACATATGTTTAACACCCCCCATATATTGTATCAGCCTTCAAAGTCCCATAGCAGTCAAGCTCTAACAAAAAAAAGTTACCAATAATCCGCTCCATGAGGCGAAGAGTTCCATCCTTGTCCAGTTCATCTTGAAACTCTCTTATCCAGATATTTAATTCATCTGACTCATTTCCACTGTGGAAATAGTAGAACTCTAGACACTGGACATTACACTCCCTGTTAGGCTTCATTTCCTCAGTTTCCAATCGGGCTGAATCTCCCTTTTGACCTGATGCTGTGCTTATGTGGATAAAGTACCCGGTTTGTTGACCTGCAATGACACCCAAAGTCAGATTCCTACTTTTATTTTCATACTATTTAAAGATAAAAATTATACAATCTGATTATCATATGAATTATTGAGATAGAGTTAAATAAGCATTATTTAGCATTCAGAAAAACCCTAAGGTTTGCAGTTTGATTTTTTTTTTTTTTACTGGCTTGCATTGTGAATTGCAAGTAATACTAATACACATTACAAAATGTTCAAGCTACTTTAAAAGTCTCAGTTTAGATTACATAGGTAATAACTGTTGAAAAAGGGTTTAGAAAATGGAGGGCTGACAATTCAAATCTTCCATAAAATTGCTGTAAAATATATGTAATGTTTACAGGTGTCAAAGTATCAGGGAAAAACTTTACAATAAATAACAGCATTGTTTTCATCATTATGCAATAAAAATGGGAAAGTACATTTAAAATTTTACCATAATCGTTACTTTCGCTTGGTAGTGTTGTGTGGTCAGAGCTTGGACCCCCATTCGCTTGTGTAACAACATTCCAGCGGTTCTCACTCTGTGAACAGTGGCTCATCTGGCACATTTTTCCATTTGAAAAGCCGCAGTAAAACTTAAAAGCAACAGTTGTGTCTGAGAAATAAAATAAAAAAGTTATGTACATAAGTGTAAAGTTTGGATTCCAAAGTAATACTTTAAAATATTATATTGGCATTAGACTACTGGTTGGCGGATTTATTAGTGATTCCAACAGCCATCTATTTAAATGATGTCAAATGCATATACTGCTGCTCACAAGATTTGTTGTCTATTGTTATGTTGTGTTTGATTTGTTAATTAATGTTTTTTTTTATTATGCACATGGAGAAAGAAAAAGCTCTAAAAAAATGCCAAAAAATCAGCAGTACTATTCAGCTACCAGTTAGACTGATGTCAAATTATCTGTATCAGCATCAGCTTTAAAAAAAGCCTGTGTTAGTCAATCATTAATCAACAAGCATTTAAATGAATCTTGATTGAGTAACTGGGCACTAAGCTGTAGAACAAATATTAGATCAATTGCAAGTTGGAAAATATATGGAAAAAAGTTCCACTACATTTCTTTGGATGATAGTATATTGCAAATACACATTTTTCATATTTAAAAAAAAAAAATCTCCATATTGTCCAACAATCTGTAAGCACTCACTGCAGTTGTACAGAAGGTTCAACTCTTCAACATCACGAGGACTCATCTCAAGTCTCTGACCAATCACGTCTTTAAAATTAGGGTCCAGCGTAACAATTGTTGGGCCTTTACCATTGCTGAATGCATTCTTGGAATAGTGCATCACTGACTCGTAGTCATAAGGGACGCCATTGGTGGTGGTCTGATCACTGCCAAACTTAATAAAATTGTTCTCTCTATCTAGGTGAAATAAAAGATAAGAATAAAAAATAAGAATAATGAAATAAAAAATTAAAAAATTGGCTGAGAGAGGTTAATTAAAGTATTTCAACCTGGAGAGAATCACACAGAGAAAAATGCAATTAGAAAGATTTTATCGACATGAATGAACTAAGATTTTTGGAGCTCGGACCCCAGTAGACGACTTTGGCGCTAGGAACGGACATGTACTTGGATGAATGATTTAGGAAAATTATTAGCATAATCTTTCACTGGGGCCAGGGCACAAATGGTGGAGTAAGAAATACGACTGAGAGTGAGTGAAAGGATTGAGAAGGAACTTTATTATTTTTAATCATGATTGGCTTCTGAGGGGGTTTGGTTCTAGAACTTGTAACGTGGCATATCAGCAGGTGGTCTGGGTGAGACTGATAAGAGTTTTCCAGATTTCATTTGTAACTTAAGTTTCATAACCAATTCATGATTGAGATAGACTGAACAGCTGCCAACATTTAGTTTAGTTTGTTTTATCCCACAATTTATTGCATATATTTTTAAAGCCCTTCTTTAATTATAAAAGAAAAAAAGTTCATAGTTAAATAATTTGAGGTATCTTTGAAAGGAGTATATTGACATTTAAAATGTTGACCCCTTACAAGTTTCTTTTTTACTTCCATGTTTTCAAACTAATAGTGATTTATATTCACACCTAAATATTAAGCAACAGTTTGAATATGGAAGTTTATTTTATTTTTGCTATTTTGTGTGCATTGGTAGTACTTAACTGCTGAATCACTTTAGCAATTCTCATTTCAGTGTAGGATTTCTTTCTTTATACTGTGACAGAATGCAGCCTCTCTGACAGGTTTAGGTGATTGTAGGGGCATATATCCTAATAGTGTGTTCATACAAAATGCATTTGAGCACCAGAGGTTTCTGGTTTACATGCAAAGTCCATTGAGCGTCATGAGCGGCAAGTCTTACAGTCTTTCCAGTGTCGATACTAGAGCGTTTTCAGTGGCCAAATGTCCACCAACAAGAATGGCAGATGCTGGTGTTTGGAAACTATTTTTTATTTTTTTTTTGCAGCTGGTTGCTGTACCTCAGCCAATAAAAAAAGCCGATCTAGGAGTTCCCTGGCAGACGGACACTACATATAAGTGATAATTTCTGTAGAGTTGTTAGTAAAAAACTATAAGAAATGTACATATAAAAGGGCAAAACTTCTTTTAGTTGTGTATTTTCGAGCAGAAATTGCTTCTAAAATTTTTATGGACTTAACAGATTTATTTTTCATAAAGGTGTGTACGGTAATGTTAATCTTTTTAATTTACTTTTAAAGATATAGCATGCATACAATGAGACACACAGGTATGTTAATAAAATACATCTCAACTGATTTTTGAATGTATACATAGGCTAAATAAAACTTTTTTTACATAATTTATTTTTTTTTTTTTTAGTTTTCACTAACATTTTGGGCATCAATTTGTCAGCTGGAATGTGTTACGGTAGCTATTTTTAAAGGTCATTCAAAAACAATATTGATGCAACTTTTGAGCACAAATGAATGTATCCCCTGCACTAATAATACATTTGTGCATGTGGCTTTCACTACATATTCAACCAAATTAATATATACATTTTAGGGATTATTTGTCCTTTCTTATCACTGGGTTTTTTAAAGTTTTTTAAGTATTTATTTTTGTTTCTTTTTGGGGGGATTTCCAGGATATCAGGGCAGTATATGCCTTGGCAGTTAGTTAGTGCAAGGATAAAACAAAAATACATTTAAAATAAAAACTTTTGTTAATATACGACAAATATAAAGTTGTCTATTATACCTTTTAAGATGTTGTCAAGTATAATCCTCACAAAATTATCTCTGTCATATCGAGACTGCTCATGGAGGAAACCAAGTGCATGAAGAACCTCATGCTCAACAATGGCAAGGTAATCACAGCCTGTACCAATAGAGAGTTCCTGTCCATTCATGAATTGACGGCCAACATACGAAAAGCACCTGGAAAAGAAAAGAATTAATCAATAGTCTGTTTAATCAAAACTTTTAAAAGTGAAGAATTTTGCATCCATTCCCCGTGGTTATAGCTGTGAAAATAATATTTATACGGTATATACACTTCTATTTTCAAACAATGCTGGGTCAATACTTTTTTCAATTATTATATCACAAGTGACCCTGCGCTGTCAAATTAAAATACTAATGGACTACTTTAAACTCACAATAGTTTAATATTGCCGAATTATAACTTCAGAGAGATTTAAAAGTGAATAACCCTGAATAACAATGGGATTTTAATTATTTTATTTTTACAAAAAAAGCTATAACTTAAACTAGAACTAGTACCTATCAAAATCTGACATAAATGAAATAGCTAATCCTAAGTACCAATGCAATAAATATATTAATTAATATTTTGTTACATTTTATAATTTAATAATTCTCTAAAATGCAGACAATTCTATTAAGAAAAAACAAATATTAAAAGGTTTTTCAAACAAAATCTTACTTATATTGTGAGAGATATACAAAGTCTCAGCATGCATACTCAAATCTGTTAAACAGTTTAAGTGCCAACATGAGTTTAAAAACAAAAAAAACAACAAAAAACATGTTTATTGGGAGAGTTTACATGTTTATTGAGATATCCGGGTGAACAAGGGAGACTACAGATGCAAGGAAAGAGAGATCCCTTGTCACTCTACTTTTAAGTGATAAATTCAGTGGAAACCTTTTTATGTTGATCCGACGAAATGACAGTTGACCGACAGCAATACAGCTAATTCTATCAGAAAAACACATCTTTTGCAAGTGACAAAAAAAACATGTCTGAAAACTTTTCCATGAGTCTGCTGGAATAAGTCAGAATTCAGCCAACATTAGACCATGACTGTCAAGTCTCCCATTATGGCCAGGAAACTATCCCTCTTTAGCTTAGTATATTCTCTACATTCGGTACTGCTGTTTGACAATTCTTCAGTTCTATCAAGAAGCACAAGGTGAGAGCGGAGCAGTGAATTCCCACATGAGATTCTCTGCTGGCCTCTTTGTCGCCTTCTCACGTGCAGTTTGAATAGGGATACTATGTAAATCAACCACAGTCTCTATGTACACTGTGCTCAGTCTGAATGCAGTGTTTCTGTTATGATTATGGATGTCTTTTTTTGTGAATGAAAACCCCCTTATGGGGAAGTCATACCCATAAATGGTATTATTAAGGTGGTAATTATGCAAATTTCTCGAGTATGACCGCTCACATCCTCACATCTGGAATGCATCAGTTTACAAGGACTGTTTATGATTATTAACTGAAGTAAAGAATGCTGGTTTGAATGTTGAATCTAATCTAGGGCACTAGTAGGAGAAAAAGTAAGAGAAATTTATGACAAGTATATAAAAATGTTGTGTCATAAGGCCTAATGGTTGTATATTACGTGACATTTTTTGGCTTCATATCTAGCTGCACATTCTTAGGAACAGCTACGTGCAGAAGGGGGCAGGAGCATGCAGCAGGGAGTGGATGGGGCGAATAACTCTGGTAAAGGGATATAAAAACTGACATTCCTGGGAATTCTAGTCTTAAAAGCACAACTTGAGTGTTGCCATTAGCAAATTGTACTTCTAGAAAACGAAAAAAAAGACAGAGGACATACCCATTTAACTTTTTGATGTTGATGTAGTACTCCTCAGAATCCTGCGGTTTAAAATCAATGCATGACTTCACCCTGAATTGGTCGAAAGCTCTCATGATGACTCCTTTGGCGTTCAGATCTTATATTAAGAAGTTAGTTTCAAAGTAGTGAAAAAAGAACAACACATGCAGCATAGCATTAATCTGCATTAAGTTAAACAATGATGATATTCATAGACCAAAAATAAGAAAATGAGATTTCAGTTGTGATTCATTGTATTTTTAATGACAAAAATCATATAAGAAAAGGCTCTTTTCAGACTGGTATTTACAAAGCTGCAAACCCTGATTATTTGTTTACATTAAGTCTGCAAAAACTTTCAGTAATCTCTCTACAAAAATACCCCAGCTCAAAAATGTGGTTTGAATAAATTTATATTTTTTTATTTAAAGAAAGTAATACTACCTAGGCTTTTATCCAAGACGTAGGAAACTGGGGATGTCCATAGATTATTTCCAGGTAGAATGCTACTCCTTTCAATGTTTGGAGGCTGAACAAAATGTGTATAAGACATATCCATATAAGAAAAAAAACATCCATATATTAAAGGTTTGAAAAGCGTCTTATTTATTTGCCTGCAGATCTAAACTTACCACACGAATGTCATCAATTGTTAAATCTAAGATTTGGGCATAAAGTTAGAGGTTTAAACAAAGAATTCACCCCAATCAATGGTATTTTTAAATGAATAAAGACATTTTACTTTACCCTCTGTTGTGGTGTCATTGTGATTAAGTTCTACAAAAAACACAACATTCCTCCTTTTTACACCATATGATCTCATAAAAACTTCTTAGAATTCACTGAAAGACTTATCTAGATGGGACCAAAAATGTTTTGAACTTACCAACTTTCTCAACCCCTGCCTGGATTAAATAACACATTTTAAACATAAAAAATAAAATGATGCAAAAAAACAGAAGGGGTATGCAATATTTCTTTTGTACATCATGATTACATATAACAGCTTTGTCCAAAACTACTCACTGTAGGGAGGGAAATTGCTGATGAAACTGCAAAGTTCACCATAAGAATCAAGTAACTTCTCAATTTCATGGTTATTCCTGGAATAAATAACAATATATATTTTAGAGAAACATATTTGCCTATCTACGATGTTAATGGATTTAACTTGGTTTGTTTAAATAAAAAAAGTATACTACCTGTACTGAAGGAGGAAACCACACAAATATTCGTCTTCAGCACTACCGTGATAAGATTCTAAGCAAAAAGGGGAGCTTTTGAAGCTCCAGTTGAACAAACAAGTATATCAACTTTAGGTAGTTACGCATGCTGTGCATAACTGGTTTGAAGTGTATGAAAAGTAGACCAAAGTCTTTGTCATTGTGACATGTTCTTTTCATTTTTTTTTTCTTTTTGTTGTGGGTAATACATTTTTTGACATGTAGGTTGCATTATTACTTATAAGGAAAACACTATGACCACTTAAAAGGTCATTTTCTACAGCAAATCACTAGATGGTATTAGGTCCAAACACAAAATATCAACTATAAACCATTTTCAAAGTTGAGGAGTAGTAGGAAAAGTAGGTCAAGAGGAAGCAACATTTTGTCTATGTTCTCATCTGGAACAAATGCTTAAAAGATGTGCAGTAATGATGGTTCCTTTTTTATATATATAGAACAAGGTTCCCACACCTTGGGGGTCAGACACATGAAACATGTTGGGTTAGTATTTTCTTTCTAGAAAAAAAGTGTATTGCCAGTGTGGAATTTTACACCTAAGAAATTCTGTTACAGATTGTACTCATTTGCTGGATGATTGACAGTGCTCGTCATGCTTCTTCTGTCACAAGTGCATGACAGTGTCGATAGGAGAACAATCACGTAATGAATGATATTACTTTTCTAATCAGGTCTGTTTAGGTTCAGCACGTCTATTACAGTAAACCTATATATCCCGCTTTTTATTTAGGAAAAAGAAAGAGAAATATTTCAAAATTGTGTTGCTTTTAAATTTATTTTTCCAGCCATATGTATATCAACAAATGCTCTTGAGTGAGTTAATATGTAAAAAAAGAACCCTGCTTATTATTCCCAGCAGTAAACCTGTCTGAAATGGGGGCATGGAAATAGTTCAAAAGAAACTTCAAAAGACAGTAGACTAGAAAGATTAGTCTGACAGGTTTACAAGAAACAATTTAGAAAGAATGAGGAAAAAATACACAGGAACACATCATCTTTGTAATAAGTGTGTTATTAATTTTTGCATATCTTCTAAACATCAGTCTTAGCAACATATATAAAGGAATAAAAAGGAAATCTGTTTTTGGTCTCTCCTTATAAATATCTCATTCTGTCAATTAATGCTGCTCATTCTTTAACTAGATTCTTGTCAATAGGATATGTTTGTAAATTAAATTGTAAGTTTATAATTTTAAAACCTAATGTGTCTAATAGACCTAGTGACTGATTTTCTTTTTATTGGCACACAAAACTACAACACAACCCTCCTGACTAAATCAGGAAACAGAACAACGAGATTAGCTTTAAGGAGGTTGGAGACAGAGGACACTCTGAGTTTATCGAAGAGAAACTGCTCCCAACCAGGTTAGCTCTGGATAGAATGTTACTATGATAACAGAAACAGAGGTCCAGTAAACTCTCTTTGTTAAACTTTAAACTCAGAGTTTCCCTGATTTGAGGTTTAAAAAACTTAGACTTTTCAGTCTGATTTGGAAAACATGCCTCAGGTTCACTTGTGGTTCCCAGAATTTCTAGAAGTAGAATGGTAGGCAGATATTTTATGTAAGAACCTCTCTTGCAGAACCAACTACCAGTTATAGTGCATGAGGCAGAAACCTTGTATACTTTTAAGGCTATTGATGCCCGCTCAGTTTTTGGGTGAGTAGAGAAGTAAGAGGCAGTAGAGTGTTTACAGCCTGCTCTGGCGAGTGAGAATTTCAGTCCAGACAGATATTTTTATTGGTTCTACCTTGGCCCTACTGCAGCCCTACCTTTCTTATATCTTACCCAAAATGGTTAAGTTATGCTGAACTATTTTCTATATTTATACTGCAATAGATAAAGGTAACCTAAGCAAATGTGGACCACTTTTATCATCTTGCTTTATTTTACCTCCATTCTGCCATTCTGCAATATTTGTTTATATGTGACACCATCCTTGAGAGAAATGTCAGCTCGGCTGCTGCTCGATCAACATCTTTGTTTGTAGATGTTAGAGTTGGGCCTGTTTTTGGGTGTAGACCTGTTTCTCTCCTCGAGATAGCTATGGGCTGAGCTTTTACTGTGACTATTTACAGTATGTGCTCTCTTTCATCCCGTGACACGAATACTGACTCAGAGCTTGTCTGTTTAGTTGTTTATTTGCTAGAAAGATCCACCTGTGGAGCTGGTTTACCATTACCTTTTCTAACATAGGAAGTATTTATCAATCAGTGCTTCTATGGTCCTCTTATTCCTCTGCTTCTATCTCCTTTAACCCCCAGTCAGCCATGGAAGAAGGCTACAAACACAGAACCTGGTTCTACTCGAGGTTACTTTTTTAACAATGTGCCTGAATTACCCGATTGAATAGTCTCTGTAAAGTTTCCTGAGATTATGTGTTGTGTCAGCAATACGTACATAAATAAACGGATATCGGCAATGTAGCGGATAGATGTTTAAACCTCTCCAATATAGGTATCGGCCTTCAAAATCCTATATCTGTCAGGCTCTAACAGAGAAAGATTTAGAGAAAGATTACCAATAATCTGCTCCATGAGGCAAAAAGTTCCTTTGATTTCCAGTTCATCTTGAAACAGTCTTTTCCAGATATTAATTATTAACAATATAATCAATAATATAATTATTAATTTTTATTAATTCATCTGACCCATTTCCACTGTGAAAATAGTAGAACTCTAGACAGTGGACATTGCACTCACTATTAGGCTTCATTCCCTCAGTTTCCAATCAGACTGCATCTCCCTCTTGACCTTATGCTGTGCTTAGTGTGGACAAAGTACCCTGTTTGTTGACCTCCAATGTCATCCAAAGTCAGATTTTCTGTTGGATTCCTACTTTTATTTGCATAATACATATTTTACAACTTATTAGGCATTCTACAAATAACTATTCAGACTTTCCATCAATAAACTGCGACAAATATATGGTAACAAAAAGGGAATTAAAAACACACACACACACATTAGGCAGTGAGTGGGTGAGGCAATTAACTTTGATAAACGGAGGAAGAAATTAAAAATCTTTGGAATTCCAAGTAGGAAAATCAGAAGAAAAGACAAACCGATTAAATTGAGATTTGGACAAGACCTATAATCTGTCAAAATGTAGTTCCTACAGCTCCTATAGGTGCAAATCTAAGGGAAATCTAGGAAATGCTTTTTTTTTAATGTTTCTGTGGAAAAAAACTCTCTATACTCGACAAGTTTTTAGCTTGATGGGAAGCCCAACACATTCACATATTTCTCCTAAGGCTACCTTCGTAGTCTGATGACCTTTGTAGTCTCTCACTCCAAACACCCATCCAATCGTGCACACTTTTCCTTTCTTCATCCCTAGCTCTGTCCTTTAAGGACTGGGAGGCTCTGGGTATTTTGTATTTTAAAGATCTGGTTATTTACACTTCTCTCTTTAGGACATATCATCAAATAAACTGCACAATTCTAAGAACAAAATCAGATAATTTTTTTCAAATATAGGCAAAAACAGAAACAGTATTAGAATCAGAAAAAAAGTTTATTGCCAGTGTGGAATTTTACACCTAAGAAATTCTGTTACAGATTGTACTCATTTGCTGGATGATTGACAGTGCTCGTCATGCTTCTTCTGTCACAAGTGCATGACAGTGTNAGAAAATGAAGGCTAATCATGTTTTGGGTGTACTATTCCTTTAAGTTATGCTGAACTATTTTCTATATTTATGCTGCAATAGATAAAGGTAACCTAAGGAAATGTGGACCACTTTTATGATCTTGCTTTATTCTACCTCCATTCTGCCATTCTGCAATATTTGTTTCGATCAACATCTTTGTTTGTAGATGTTAGAGTTGGGCCTGTTTTTGGGTGTAGACCTGTTTCTCTCCTCGACATAGCTATGGGCTGAGCTTTTACTGTGACTATTTACAGTATGTGCTCTCAAGATGTCCAGTTCATCTTGAAACAGTCTTTTCCAGATATTAATTATTAACAATATAATCAATAATATAATTATTAATTTTAATTAATTCATCTGACTAATTTCCACTGTGAAAATAGTAGAATTCTAGACAGTGGACATTGCACTCAATATTAGGCTTCATTCCCTCAGTTTCCAATCAGACTGCATCTCCGTCTTGACCTTATGCTGTGCTTATGTGGATAAAGTACCCTGTTTGTTGACCTCCAAAGTCAGATTTCCTGTTGGATTCCTACTTTTATTTGCATAATACATATTTTACAACTTTTATTAGGCATTCTACAAATAACTATTCAGACTTTCCATCAATAAACTGCAACAAATATTGGGTAACAAAAAGGCAATTACAAACACACACACACACACATTAGGCAGTGAGTGGGTGGGGTAATTAACTTTGATAAATGGAGGAAGAAATTAAAAAACTTTGGAATTTCAAGTAGGAAAATCAGAAGAAAAGACAAACTGGTTAAATTGAGATTTGGACAAGACCTACAATCTGTCAAAATGTAGTTCCTACAGCTCCTGTAGGTCCAAATCTAAGGGAAATCTGAGAAATGCTCTTTTAAATGTTTCTGTGGAAAAAAACTCTCTATACTGGACTTGGTTTTAGCTTAAAGGGAAGCCCTAAACATTCCCATATTTCTTCTAAGGCTATTGTAAGTCCTGCAATCTATAATTGCTGCCAACATCATTGGAAAGTCCCTGATTCTAGCCTACAAAGTGCTTAGTGGTACGGTTCCAGTCTTCTTGAATCCACTTGCAAAGGGTTATGTCAAAACTCGGTAACTTCGGTCATCAATGGATTGTCATCTAGCAGTGCCTACTCTATACTTAAGACATTCCAGACTGTTTACATGGGTTGTTCCAAGATGTTGGCATGACATACTAAGCACTACAGGAACAGCAGCATCCCTTTCTTTCTTTAGGAAACTCTTAAAGACCCACCGCTTCAAAGAGCATCTCTTATCCTAACTCTTACCCATACCGCTGTACCCCTCTACTACTCTTTCTGCACTTTCCTCTCTCTCTGTTTGTTGTCATCACTTTTTCTGACTAGGGATTTTCCTCTAGAGAACTTACTCATATTAATGATAACTGTAAAATTATGTCTA